AGCATTACACTTATTTCGCAGTTTTTATATTTCTTTGTATCTGTCCTATTGTTAACTTTTTTTCTCATTTTTTCTCATTTTTCTTTTCTCCTATTCTGCAGCTACTATCTACATCTATATGATATGCATATCTCTGTTGTTTTTGTTTTCTTTCTTTCTTTTTTTCACACACTAGACCTTAATCCTCTATACAAGCGAGTATAATCTGGCTACCTATCTTGAACCTATCTCTAGTTAAAGCCTATGTTTACCATACAGAATTAAAGGTAACCTTTACCTTTTTAAAGTATCTTTTTAACATTAGTTTATCTAACTTACATACGGTAGTTCTTATCCATGGGTTATTATATTAAGTTATTTTGTATTGTTCTATATTGTTTTTAATATTGACTTATTTTAAAACTTATTATAAAACGTATTAATAATGCTTGAGCTATTCCTCCAATAAGGGCTGTCCATTTAATCAGGTGATTGACCTTGTAAATCTGATACAACACAAGTGTTGTATAAGATTTACAACACGGTCGTCACCATTGAGACAACCATTCACTAGCGAAGGTCTCAATTTTAGTATCGCATATCAYAGACCTTCACTAGGTTTTTGAAGCACTCAAAGCAGCACTCCCTTTTGCAACAGATGGCTTGCTTTCCATATGGGATGAATAATTATTCAAAATGATCTCTGTTGCAGTAAATTGCGCATGCTTAATAGCGAGTAAACTCAGTAGTTACCTTGTTCGCCATTTGTATCTCACTGTAATTCATGTTAGTTAGTGTTGGAGTTTCGTAAGTTTCGTTGTTTACAACATTCGTGTCCGTGTTGTATGATAATTCATGTTGTAAACTATACTTACCAGTTATGTTTTCCTTTGGTTGGGGCGGACATTTCTTTAATCCTATGTTTCGTCCCAAACAGCTAGTACCGTTTAGCYGTGGAGCAGGACTYGTRCAAGTTCTATTTCTTCGTTTGGCACAAAATGKCGCTATATAATAACATTGCTCAGACCACGACCCCCACTGAGTCCATCCTCCATCTATTAAGAGCAATACAATAATATTAACCCTGGGAGGTTTGCAGGTTGTTGCCTATAGCGCAGGGTTATTATGTGCCTGTCTGGTTAAGCAAATTGTACGTTTGTCTGTATTTAAACAGATATATATTAAAATATATTATAACGAGACTTTCATAGAGTAATTATAAATGGCATAAATAGAAATCTGTATGCTATATTTTCACATGTGAAAAATAGCGATACGTCCAATCAGAAGCGCGTATAGCATTTTTCACATGTGAAAATATAACCAATCACAACACAGAAAAATCGTAATCAGCCAATCAGAAAGCGACGKTCACAACACTGAAATGGCTTCTCTCACATACCGCGCGTTGATGGCAAAATGGCTGAAGGTGAACTGTGTTTGTTGATCAAAATTCCACATTTGAAGAGTTTATTAGTGGACAGGAAGGCAAACAAACTAAAGCAAAGTAAGAAGGCATGTTTTTTTCAAGAGAATTAAGTTTTTTGTCATCCAGAATGAACATGAAAGCATGGAAAACATCAGCCAAAACCATAAACTTAAACGAAAAGAAGTTTTTCTCGTTCGTTTTCACTGAGTTCAGGTCGTTTTATACCGAGTTTGATCGTTTTCTGCAAAACCTAAGCTAATCTCCATGCAATTTAGAAAGACAGGACTTCAGTAAGACAAGACATGTACCTGTAGGAAAGCTGAATCAGCTCAAACGAAGAGAGAAATTGCAGCGCGTTATCTTGCATACCAACCAAGAGAAGTAAGGTTTCTCGACAAAGAACTTTTATTTCTTACTCTACTTACTATAAAATTACGCTAAAACTTGTACACTCTTGCAACTTCAGTGAAAAATACGACGATTAATTTAGTTGTTTTTTTTTAATCAAGTTTACTTATAAGTTCCGAATTATCTGTGCATTTTAATTTTATCTACATAAGCTCATATAGTTGCTTCTCATAATATAGTTGAACAAGCTTATTAAAAAGTATGGCGAATGAAATTAAGTCTCGTTATATATATAATAAACAGTTTATAGCATGGAAAGTGCCGTACGTCGCACTTTCCATGAAATAAGCTATATATACTCACTATCACAGAGTTTGCCCGAAGAAGGCCAAAGTGCCGAAACGTTCAATCAAAAGTAGAAAACCTAGTTACAAGTTGCGTGGCTTTTTCTTCAATTTATTCTATTTACTCACTATCACAGCTGTACGTRTTCCAGGCTAAATCAGGAGTGCAGAGTCTTCCTTCTGGACAAGGATTAGACAAACAGGAATTCTGTGATTGAATCAAACATTTCGGGTTTTTTCATCGTTGTCATTATCTGTGCTTTTAGGATGCAGATGTTTTATTCGTCATAATCATAATGAATGGATTTAAAGTTTATATATATGATATCAAAGAGGCAAGATTTTGCTGTAACTCCGAGTTTCGTGCTACGCACTCATCAGACAGTATTTAAGATTTTGCTGTAACTCCGAGTTTCGTGCTACGCACTCATCAGACAGTATTTAAAGTTTATAAAGCTTTCACTGGCATATAGCGTTCTTACCTGAATTGGACAATATYTATAGCCTATTCTCTTGCTCAAAAAACTCGGTCGCATCGAGTGATCAGCAGCATTCAACTCACAGAACCTTAAATCCTGCCTAATTACTGGACCCAAGTTGTAAGAAACACATAGCTTTCTAAGAAAACAGTTACGCTGGCACGCTAGTAGTGTTGGTGTTTTCAGTTTGATTATACTGAACACGTGACCTTTCAAGGCTTTGTTCTCTATGCAATTGAGGAACTTGAGATGCCTKCATCCACCTTCACCTGYACAGTCAGAGAAACAAGAACCACAGCCAGCAATTTAGGAATAGGGCAAGAAATCATACATTTTTTGCTTTGAATACTCTGGATTTACAGAAAAAGTGGTTTTTGAGTAAATTGCAAATTTCCATAGAAAATTTGAATTTTAGAATTTATGTGCTATAACAAAATTGTTGAATGATATTGACCCATTAATGATCAATTTCAAGTTTACTAAAGATAAACGAATCCTCTGCTTTTACTAGTGATATTTTTAATACCGAGCTTTCGGCCTAAGCGGCCAT